TTAATTTGTAAAATTCATCATCATCACATCACCATTATATAGTCAAAATGAAGCGCCAACAAATTTCTCATTATCTTTTATCAATATCAGGGATTTTCGGTAAACATAGAGATCTGGTAACCCAGGACAATTTAAGCCTAACTATAGCTTACTAAGCTTTAACTACAATAATAATTATAATGATTGGACAAATTAAAAATTTCTTTTTATTTTAGCACAATTTTCTTCACTTTTTAGTATTATTATTATTACCGTATCCATCATTATCTCCATGATTATCGTCATCATCATTATTATTAATACTACAGTATTACTGAACAAATCTTTATGAAAGCTGGCAAAATACAAAACATAACCAGACATTATCACACGTCTGTAATGTTAAAAGACCTGTGCTGGGATTTATGGCGGATTTAAGACGAAGAATTTAAGCTAATTTTTACGTTAAGTAAGTTTGATAAATCCAACCCCTAATAATGTAGTAAAACCAATCAAATATGATTTTGCGGAATTGGGACCACAGGAGTACTTTCTGCCGTTACACTAACCATAGCTACGGGGTACGGTATCAGGTCCGGTGTTTGAGCATTATAGGTAGTGAGTTTTTCTCTGCATGCACTCCAATTCTGTTCACAACTTAATAACATTGGTACGCGGGCGTCTTCACTATGCCTGTAGCCATAGGAATTATCCATGGTAACGGCGAGTTTTACAAACACACATAAGGAAAAAGCGTAGGATCACTATTAATAAGAAACTTGCTAACTTTATGTCGGTTTACATCATTTAGCATTATTAAAGCAATAGGTCTACACGATAAAAAAAAATAAATAAATAGATAGATATGGATCCAGGAGAGACAGGAAAGACTATGTCAAATTATGGGAAAAAAATACCCACACCTGAGGAAGTGAAACTAAGATGGATAGAAATTGTGCGGGTGAGTCGTTTTTCCTACTCGATCGTATCTATGGTTAAGTTGATATTGAAAGTACGCAAATCTGGGTTACTAAATACTAAGTTTTATGTTGATATTTTCAGCGCGAGAAAAACATACGGAAGAATCATTTAGCAACAAAAGGCGATGGATCTGAACAATGGCCAGGCATCCAATCAGCGACAGAGCAACAGTTGAAAGAGAAAAATACATATTTCAACAACAACAAACAGGTAAATATCGGTTAAACACGTACCGGTAGCTAACAACAAACTGGAAAATATGAATGAACACGTAAAGAGTAACAACAAGCAACAGCCAATTTTGAGTAGACCTAGTATAATTGATTTTGGTAAATTACTGGTTACTTGTATATACTTACTACTTACGTCTTACTATTCACTAAGGTACCTAAACATATTTCTTAGTTTTACTTAATTATTGAGAGGTGATGAGCCAATAAACAAAGCTGATCATGTGCTTTGTCAGGAATTACATAAAACGACTACTAAAAAATGACACCATGGATTGGCATTTCAGGGGCAGATACATTGACATTTATATATTCTGCAGATATTATTATCGTTAAATCTGTCATCGATTTTATCATTAGAACAAACCTAGTTCGACCTACGACCGATTATTCCACGTTGAGGAAGGCTTCCATAGTAAGATACACCGGGACGACCGTCAGCACACCATGAACCTAAATGTGTATTCCGAGGTAAGGCGCATCTACCAATATTACACGAGAGATACAGGGAAAGTATGACGTCTCATGACACATGGCGTCTATATCTCAGATATGCCAACTTTTATGTCAAGATTTTAAGGTCTCTTTTAGTAAGGGAATCTACATTGTTTGCAACAAAAAGAGAAACAGGAACCAGTCTTGCCCACCATTACCCATCCCAAACACCCCATCCTTCAAACCAAACCTGGATCCGCTATCTATAAAATTTGGAAGAAACATATACATAAATATATATATTTTTTTTTTGGAAATTCAAGGTTACGGCGGGATAAAGGAAAACTTTTTTTTTATAAAATTTCGGTGGGTGCGTTAATAGGACAAAAATATAACGTTATTTTTATTCGAAATCACCATTATTGGCGCGCGGCGGGTTCGCTAAGCAAGGTATAAAAACAGTCTCGCCTACAACATAACAAGATCAATATTAAATATAGTTATCAACTTCCAAAATAGGAACATTCTTGGAACTGATTATCGGCCAGTTTAAAGGTTTTTTTTTTTTTTTTTTTTTTTTTTTTTTTTTTTTTTTTTTTTGCAAATAATATTGGAACGGTATTATTAAAATAGTTCTCCCATGCATGCAATCGAAGTGGTTTCCCAACTTGTTACGTCATATGATATTGGTGAACCCGCGATCTTCCTTCTGAAGTTGTTAAAAAATATAAACACCATGAAGTTTGATGTACAGTACTATAATAATGTATCTCTTCTATTTAGATCACAATAATCACGTCAAGTTATGACATCACAGTGTTTTAGTCACACAGTTATGACATCACAAATTAATGACGTCAAAAAGTTTTTAAGGTAATCTCCTGTGGTTTTTAACCATGGCCTTTTCATAACGCACTACTGTCGATAACGATCATAAACGATTAGTAATAAGTTTCAAAGGGTCAAATAAACAATACTTGTCAATTACATGAAATAACCAACCATAATACATATATTATAATACAAAAGTTGTACAATTGCATAAAAAAAAAACAATATCAGTAATTATGATTGAAGATATAATGAAAATAAAGTTATACCAAACGATTAATAAGCAAAAATAATAGCAATAAATAAAAGTAATAAAACTCATCAATTGAACAATAAACTACATACTAAAAGAAGGATTTATAATCTTTCTTACAATGAAAGTAACTCTCCATTTCATTAGTTTACCAACTTTATACATTTTAGAGCAGATTTTCTTTCATACACAGACACACAACATCACTCAATGGACAGAAATATTTTTTAAAGGTGTTACCCAAGCTTTGTTAATCACACCCAAGTAAGCCATGTAGTGGCTAAAACTTGTTTTATCAATAAATAACTTTATAGTTAGGACTCCCAGTATAAGTTAGGTTTCTTCTGGAGTTAATAATAATAAAGACGAAATACTATGTCTACAGTATTAAAAACAGTTCCATGAACTATGGTTCTAGCAGTAACTGATCAATGAATACTGATAAAGACATTATATATTAAATACAAGCACTGTTTTTAGAAGGGGATAATGACAATTTTTGTGTAATAATGACAGTAATTTGTTAAATAATCTTCCAAACTTTGCAAGCCTATAATGCATGATTGGAACACCATAATAATGCATTTTCTTTTAGAGCGAATTTGCAAACAAAATTAATGATGATATTGCAAAATGACAATAATCATCATTATAAATATAGTAACAAATAAGAAACAAGAGTAATAAGAATAAGAATAATAATAATAATGATTACAATAATAATAATAAAATAATAATAACAATAATAATAATAATAATAATAATAATAATAATAATAATAATAATAATAATAATAATAATAATAATAATAATAGCTAAGCAGTCAGTCAAGAGGTATCGTTCCTGCTTCTTGTGCTGAAGTCCCTGGTTCTAACCTGGGCATCGTTGGGTTTTAAGTAGCGTTTGATCACTCGGTTCCTTGAATAACTCCCACTTGAGTGTTTTTAGATGGGATAAGGGGCAATGTATCTGTTGCATAATAACAATAATAATAATAATTTATTTCATATACCTAATAATAACCTCTAATATATGCTCCACACATTATTACCCTGGGCAAAGGACCAAACTCCTAAAACGACTAAAAACTGCTCACTCCTCAAGCAATATGTGAGACTTATATATAAGAATAACCGAGCCTTAAGCCGGCCACTCAGTCCGTCGCACGACGAATCCACATTTGCTTCCGGTGAGCGATAGACGACGCAACGTCTGCTCATTGTCAGTGGCAATCTGAACGGATCCTCATTAAAAAGACGATCCGTTGGGTCCGCGTCTTTGCATTCTTTGTCGCGTTGCCGTTGCACGCAGTGAGTAACCGGCTTAAGATGAAAAAAATCTTAATACTGATTAGGTTCCCCAATTTAAATATATAATTATTTTTTAAACACCCATACTAACACTACTAAAGGCACATGTAGCCAGACTCATATTATTCAAACCCTTGATCATTCAATTGCAAGTCTAAATTCTTGTTGTACCACTTGCTCCAACATTAATAATAATAATAATAATATTAATAAATAATAATAATAATAATAACAAAAGAACAATAACACCACCATTTAATAATAAATTACATCATTGGTATATTACCTTGTAATCATTCTACCAACACTCAAATATCTCTCACCTTTTCTCTCTACTTTGCACATCTGTCATATGATTTGGTCCCTCATCACCATTTAAAAAGATCCTTTTAAATACATCAAAAGTCAACCAGATTTATAAAATATTGTTAAGAGTTATAAATAAAGAGCTATGCCCTATACAAATTACATCATTTTAAAAATTAATTATTTGGGGATTAATCTTACATGTTAACATTTCAGATCTTATTCTTTGTTGAATATTGTGACCGATTAAAACATAAAAAATGCTGTTTTTTTTTAAAAGCACCATAGCACTAGTACTTGCACTGTGACATTTCCCTTAAATGAGACAGAGTAGAAAACCTAAAAAATGAAGCAAGTTAACGGAAAAGCATATTTTCCCAAAAGCATATCTCCCTTCCTGCCCCTTCTCCATACCTTCCCATTTCCTCCCCCGAATTAAAGCATGGAACAATACAATTACTGTTTAGGAATTGCTGTTACTGTTAAAGGTTTCATATACAACATGAAGAAATCTCTAGAAAATTAACTGTAAAATCCAATACACAAGAAATCACAATAACAAACATAAACTTAATGTTTCTTAGTACTTTGGAATTTGGTTAACAGAAAGCTATATTGAATTTGTTTCTATCTATGTTGAATTTACTCACACTTGGAAATTATTGATCTGAAGCATGTAAACAATAATTTTCAATTGCAAATACGAAAATCTATGAAACTAAAGCTTTTCAACACACACACAGAAAAACCCATAAAATAAAATTGTATAGCAATCATACACTCAAAAAATCACCAATTTAAGAAAAACAAATTACTTCAATGGGTCGCTTAGGAAGGAGAAATGAAATTGTTGAAATACTTTTGTGCAGATTATAGATGGAACTTCATCACTACACCTGATGATGCCCTAACTACTGGAGCCAAGTTACAGATAAGACATAAATAAATAAAATAAATAAATATTTTATTGATGTCAATTTCAATTCAAAATTTTAAAAATAAATAATTAAACTAATGAAATGCCAATTAGTATAATATTATTGCCTAATCACATTCACTCCAGTGACTTTAAGTATTGGATCAAATATCAAGACTAATTTCCATATTTTTCTTTACAGATCCCTCTAAATATAAGGCCAAATAAAAAAAAAATTTTCTTCCCACCACAATCCCTTTCATAAGCTGTTACCAAATTTTGTAGAAATCCAATAATCTTTATAACCAATGCACAATTGTGGGTCTCCAGGCCTTGGCATAAATATGTGTCAGTGGGCCTGCAGGGGAGGGGGTGGTGGAACTATTTGTTTGCAAACATAGGTGCCTTGCCTACCTCTTATTCAAAAATCAAAAGCAGAAACCACATATTTTTAAATATTTGGCTTAAATGTTGTTTGTTTTACATTTAGTTTATTGTATAATGTGTAATGATTGCATTATTGCTTAATTAACTGATAAAATTATTAAATTGATTGCTTTATGAAAATTAATTAAATATCAAATCACAAATGAAAGCTAAATTCTTAGTGGATTTCCCCAACACTCAAAAGATGTAGGCAACGCACCACAAAAAAAACAACAAACAAAAACCCAACCCTTTGGTCAAAATTTGGTCTTGTTAAAAAAATTTTACATAGTGGTTAATAAGGAAAGCACTTTAAAATAAATTCAAATGTAGTCTGTGTGCTCGATAACATATTAATTTGTACCAATTTCTTAATTCAACTAAATTATAATACACCTATTATTTGGTATTGAATTAGCTATTGCCACTGTTGTTCTACCTTAGCTAACGCTATACACACATGGCAGTACACAGGACATTCTCCGTAGTTGCATTCTTGTACTTTTGGCAACTCAATACGTTTCTGAATCAGACGTGTCTACATTGCTACCTGTGCGGCTGTGGTTACCGTCGCCGTCGGTCAGATCAAGGCTACCTAGTGTGCGTGTTCGCCCAAGCTCCCCGGTAAGCGCCATCGCGATCCGTGAATTTGCAGCGGTACTGTTTGGAGAGAATGGAATCATTTGCGCTAGGATGATGGCCAAACAGTCTGCAACCTTAGAATTCGCTGAACAACTTAATGCAGGTGTGTAGCCTATAAGAAAAACAGTTAAAATAGTTTTGATAACCGATAAAATGACTGGACAATTGTACCACACATAAAAATGAATATTAAAGATGTGAATCACATAATGCCAAGGTCTTGCAGTTCATATTACTACTATGGTGTTTGTTGTAAACAAGACCATCACATTCCATCAGACTCCTTAAATGTTTATATATATGCCATGTCCATACTCTAAAAGGATCATTTAACTTACTTCCACTTCTACTTTTCATAGGCACTATTATATAAATGTTGTTCTACCTAGCTAACGCTATACACACATGGCAGTACAAAAGGACATTCTCCGTAGTTGCATTCTTGTACTTTCGGCAACCATATGAGCCCTGTGGCTCGGCAAGGATTTACATATTTACTATATAAAATGTATAAGGCCAAAAAAAATGTTTTGTTTTGCTCAAGAACAGTGAAACTTTGACATCTGGGTTAGTGAGTCTGAATTTTAAAAAAATTACTAAAATGGTCCTAGGCCTAATGTTATGGTTCATGGCTGACTGTAACATTTTCCATGTATTTTGGCTGATAAAATGACAACCACTAGCTCAAATTAATGGTTAAGTTTTCAAATTAATCAATTAAAGCTTGCTGAAATGCCTTTGTAAACATCATACAAAACCATTTTCAGCTCATATGTTTTGCCCAAATAACCCCCACCACATATTTTCAAGATTTTAGGTCAGTCGGGCTTAGGCAGCATACATTTTTTTTAGGTCGTATTATTATAAATAAAGTAGAAGCATATTATTTAATTTACCTCTGTTGTCAACTGCTAATAAACTAGCACCTTTGGTTATAAGTTCCTGAACCACAGTTACTAAGCCACTGGCTGCTGCTATATGCAAAGCTCTGCAAATTAAAAACACATCATAAACATACCAAAACTCCTTTTACTGACTAATCATCACCGCCACCATTACAGTCTTCATCGCTACCTCAGCTATCTTTATCTTCATCATTACCACCATCATCACCAACAATATTTAATTATCATCATTAACACTACTTAATCATCAACAACATTTAATCATCATTATCAATGATAATGAATTACCATCATCACCGTTACCGCCACCATTGTTATCTTCTTCACCATCATCATCATCACAATAATCATCACTAAAATAATGATCCTCATATCATCATCACATCACCATCATTATCATCATCGTCACCATCATGCATGACGTTAATCACCTTCATTGACATCATCGTCCATTATCAATATTTTTATCTAAAAAAATCTTAACTTACGTCATTCCTTCACAATTTGGTACACTAATAGTATTTGGATTGGTAAGCTTTTCTAAAATCATCAAAGCACAACCTTCATGCCGCTAAAAAACACAAAAACAAATATAAATGTATTTAAAAAAACATAAATTAAAGCAAATACCGGTAATTGTACTAAATCACCAAAATTGTCACAATGCATGAATGTTAATGAAATGTTACTCAGAAAATTAATGCATAGACTTAGCCAAGAGATATACTGAGTAAAACATATCAAAGGGATGGGAATGGAAAAAGGGAATAAGAGAACAAAATGATTAAACAATTTTTACTTGAAAAAATCCACATAATTAAAACCATAGGTAGTTAGATCAGCAGATACCTAGTCAATGTTTTACAATATTAAGAAAACCCATTAAAACTAAGTATAATTCTTTTATTTTTTTAGTTTGTACCTTTCAAGAAACCTACAAAATCATTTGAAAGAAGTGGTGGGGATACCAAATACAGTAAAGAGTAAATGAGAATTCCTATTTATATACCCAGTGTTTAAATTTAGTTTTCAATATTAACAAACCTGTCTCCAGTATTCATAAAGAACAAGGTTTGGTGTACCATATTGTGTCTGTGATAATGATATATAAACTTAAACAGCAAAATGACATTTCAAAAAATGAATTCATAAAAATTTTAATGCTAACAAATAAACATTTCCTTTTTAGAAAACTGTGTTGGTAAATAGTCTTTAAGTATATGTGGATATCAAATGAAATTTTCTTCTATAATTGGAATAATTAAGTAGATGATTGACATATTTATTAAATGTTTGATTATTTAATAATTGATTGATGTTTGACATATTGACTGAATAACTGATTGACTAATATATTGATTAAAATGTCTCTTAATAGTAGTAGAATAAGTAGT